CTACAGAAGCCCAGAGACCTAGGTTCAATCCCTAGGATGTATACAAAGGTAGAAAGAAAGAACAGACTCCACAAAGTTGCCTTCTAACCTCTGCATTCACAGCGTGGCATGCTTACCCACCACACACACACACACACACACACACACACACACACACACACACACAATTTAAATGTAAATACCTATGGTTATATAGACACATATATTTCCCATATCCATCATAAACAGAGGTTTTCCAGCTGTTCACTTAGCCCAGGAAAATCAGAACGTGTAGCTCCTTCCCAATGCCTATGCTGCAGCAAGCACCTGGAATCATGTCCCCTTTCACACTATTGGAAAGATTCGAAACATAGGATGCTGGGCCTGGGCAGGCTGGGTTCATGGCAGCAGACTCTGCCACTTAGCCCTTGGTAGTAGTTGTGTTCAAGGGAACAGAGACTGAGGCCACTGAAGTAACTTACAGTGACCAAACAGACCATCCCGTAAGTGGCTGGTGGAGGGCAGCCCCTGTTCCTTGCCACAATTGCCTTTTGATGAAAGGGAACCTGCTCATGGTGAAAGGATAGAAAACAGATATTGAGGGAATATTGCTGTGTATTCCTGTGATCCATCTTGTGATTTTTCTGGGAGGGTGAAGGTAAAGGTGTCCTGCAGCAACAGGAATCCACACAGTGCCTGAAACAGAATCCACTAGGAAGAAATCTCTTTGTATTTGGCTAGTGAGGACTTAAGGAGCGCCACTAGGTGGCAGTGTGGGCCCAGCGGTCAAGGATGGAGTCCATTCAACGGGAGCAGTCAGGGATTGAAGAGGTAATAAGGGAATGGCCAGAGTTATTCACAAAGCTTGAATGAAGCAAGTAGGTGGGCAGTTTGGGCAGAACAGGGGCACACAACAGTTCCCAGCACACAGGTGAGATGCATAACACTGTTAAATCCACAAAAGACTATTGGAGAGCCAAACCCCTTGGGGACATTGGTTTGCACAGAACTTCCCCATCCTTGACCTCTCTGGAGATGCTTTCAAGGGAATACAGGTGCTCTGATACAGATAGAGTAAGGACAGAGAAGGATGCTAAGGAGTTTGAAGGTTACCTTGACCTAGAGGCGAAGTATATGGAAGGTAATAAGGCTTTGGTTGTAACCCACTACTTGCTAGCTATAAGATCTAAGGTACAGTGTGGGCGGTGGCGGCACACACATTTAATCCCAGCATTCAGGAGGCAGAACCAGGCAGATCTCTGTGAGTTCGAGGCCAGCCTGGGCTACAGAGAGAGTTCCAGGAAAGGTGCAAAGCTACACAGAGAAACCCTGTCTCGAAAAAAAAATATTAAAAAAAAAAAGATCTAAGGTACAGTGTAATCTGTGTTTTAGTTTCCACACATAACAGACGGCATTATCTATGGTTGTTGTGACTGCTAATAAAACTGGAACTTGCTGAGTGTCCAGCACACAGTAGGTATTCAGTAGTTACAGTAAACTGGAAGGGACACGGTCTTGGGGTAGAGTGCTTGAAATGTGGCAGCAGAAGGTCCAAGTTCAAAATCACAGCTCTGGGGGGCAGAGAAATTGGTCAGCAAATCAAGGTGCTTGCCACCAAGCCTGACAACCTTTGTTGAGCCCTAGGGCTCACATGGTTATCCTCCGACTCCACACGAGTGCCATGGCACCTGCAAACACTTGAACACACACACACACACACACACACACACACACACATTTAAAAAAGAAAATTACAGCTCAGTTGCATGATGACACCTGTGAAATCCCCTTATCTTCTTAGCAATGTGGCAATAGTTCCTACAGAAGAGTTAGGAGCCATACAGGGATCCCATGCTTTCTAGATACTCCGGCTCTACCCCACCCATATTCCAAGAAACTGGCTTCTTACTCTATTCTGGGAGCTCTGAAGCTTAACTTCCCCTTCGGGGCAGCTACAGAGAACTGGGTCCTTTGGAGTCATTTCTGATCTTCATTAAGTACTCTTTCCTTTTCACAGAGTCTTATCTCCAGCTCTCTATCTTGGGTGGGGCACCCAGAGCCTTATCTGTGCTGGGGAAAGCCCAGATGCTATTATTCAAAGTCCTGTACACTGCCAGAAACCTGTCAGTCCTGCCAAAGATCTTTTAGCCACCCTTTCTGAGGAACCTGGGTGGAGTGACATGTGTCAAGGGAAGAAACACACATACTGGACAGTGATGGGTGTGGAAGTAGTGGGTGCTACTGCCTCTCTAGATCCCATCTCCCATATCCTGGACCAAAGTTTTGGAGGACGTTCTCTACAGACCCTATAGCCCTTCAATATGCTCCCTGGTAAACTGGACACAGTGGCTTAGCCTGTAACCCCACACCGGAAGCCTGTATTTGGAAGTTTGGGGATAGCCTGGTCTACAGGTCTACATGCCGAGTTCCAGGACAGTCTGGATCCTTTTTTAATTCTCCCTGATGAGTTAGTTACTGGGAATAAATAGCAAGTTCTCTGTTTTACAGGAGTGCAGTGTCACGGTTCTGTCACTTACCTCTATGATCCTATCCCCAAACTATCTCCCTTTGTTTGAACTCAGTTTTCTCACAGCATTTGGTTGTACCTCACCAAGCCATAGACTGAGCTATCTGGGAGCTGATTGTCTCTATTCACCTCCCATTCCATGACTGGAGGAGGTCCACTCAGAGATGAGACAAAAATAGGATGAACTCATTTGATACAAAAGATTAGATGTAGCCTAAACCCTTTTAGCTGTGGTAACCACAGTAGACCTACCTGCTCATTTCCTGGGCCCCCTTATGCACCCCACGCCTCTCCCTAAGTCTATCTCCAAATCTCACACCACAACACCTACCTCCTGGCAACTCCACACACAGTGTCCTGCTGTAAGCGAGACCCAATAGGGAGCCCTAATACAACGTCCGATAGGAGCGGCTAGCTAGGAGGACCGGCCCAGACCCTGCCCTCGCGCTGTAGTTCTACGGGGAGATAAGCGCACCCATCCCCAAAGAAGCAGAGGAAAGGAAGACAATCTGGCCTGAGTCGCACACTTCTTCCTTCGTAACTTGCCCCTAAACTCAGTCTTCTCCCGACCAGTCTCTAGGCCCCGCCTCACTCGGTCACGTCAGTCCAGGATTCACGCACTTCAATTGGCCCGTCCAGCTGCTCGGCTCCACCTCCAGCGCTGCGATTGGTCAACTCGAGGAGCTCCTGCCCAGTTTTCCTGGAAAGTTCTTGGAAATCTGTCAACGGTGTTTCCTTTCGCAGTCCGAAGCCCCAGACTCCAGCGCCCCTGTTCCCCTCCCGGTCGCCGCAACGCCCGCGGTTCTAGGAAGATGCGGCTTCCGGGAAGGGCTGGGACGCAGCGGACAAAAGATTAGGAGGCGCCTGGCCCCGCCCCGCCTCCCGGCCCGGCCCCCTCGTCCTTCCAGGCTGCTTGCTCCACAGCTTTTCAGTCCCTTGCTCGCCGCCCGTGCGCCCCGGGACCTTGACCTTCGGGCCCTCGACACCCACTGGCTCCCTTCTGCTTCCGTCCCGCCGAGCCCCGACTCTCGAGCCGCCGTTGCCTCTAGGACATGGTCCTTTGCGTACAGGGGTAAGCGCCGCTCTCTCCCTGCCCATGCTCCACGCGGGAAGCACGGGAGATCACAGGCCTCCAGCTAGTTGCGGGATTTGGGAGGGCTTGACCGGTTGGAGGTGATGGAGTTCGACAGGACCTTGAGTGGTGTGCCTAGGATACCCCCCACCACACACACACACACACACACACACTTAAATGGGGCAGGTGAGCGGTGGGAGGAGCCCCCGTTCCTGAGATCTCACTGGCAACAACTTTAAGAGGTCCCCCAGGATGGAGCTCACCAGTCTAGACTTTTTTGAGCCCAGAGCTTACCACGCCTTCCGGCTTCCTACCTGCCAGTGACCAGCCCCTGGCCTCCTCTCTGTTCAGGTGTCCATTCCTCCGTCCCAGGTCAGCGGTTAGGCCATCCCTGAGGTCCTTGACTCTCCCAAGACTGGCACCTGATAACCAGCACCCTTAGGAGCATCCCCACACCTCTTTTAAGCCCAGATTGAGGTCTCAGTGCGACAAAAACGTTAGCCTGCTTTCTCCAAGGTTGGAAATGGACTTGGAAATGTGGGACTGTAGGTGGACTGGGGCTTTGATAAGACAAAGTCTTGGCCTCCGCTGAGTGGCTTTGGCACACCTGTTCAGTGTCCCCTTAAGTCATTGATCAGTCAGGAATTCAGGAAATGCTAAGAAGAGAGGAAATATGTATAGGTGGGTCTGACAAATCCAGGGGGAGCTGGGTGGTCCGGTAGCAGTGGTTATAACTGACGTGCATATGGTGCCAAGTGAGGGAGAGTGGAGGGTGGGGCCAGGCTGAAGTGCCCTTGCTCTAAGCTGTCCCGGGTCTCAGGAAAAGGACATGGAGGTGCTGGGAAGACTGTTTATTCTTTGGTAGTCCCTACCATGTTCCTTCAGTCTTTGAATTTTGGACTCCTCAGCAGACCCCCACACTGCCTTCTTTCTTGGGTGCCCCCCTCCTCCATTCTGGGCTCCCACAGCCTCTTTGACTTTGCCTTAACTGAAGGCCCCTGAGAACCTCGGGGCCAGTGTTGGGCATCAGGGACACAAGCTCTTGAACAGATGTGCGTGTATCCCACCTTCCTGGGCTTGGTTCATCTCACTGGCTTGTATCGTCAGGCAGGACGTAATGGCTAGATTCCAAGACATGCACACACAGGTTCTTGGAACACACCAGCCCTCAACCCCACCACAATGACACAGTGGCAGACACACCCCTGCCTAGATATATAGTCTCTCCCCAGCAACCTGAGGGGATTAACACAGCCATTCTACACCGAGACGCCATACCAGCCCCAGAGGTGCTTACTACACATGCATGTGGGACCTGCGCAAGAGGCCTCATGCTTACAACAGAGGCCGTGGAATGACTGGCTGGCTGCCCACATCCTCTTAAAAGGTACTTGGAACAGGCTATGAGCCCCAGCAGGCAGGTCACCTCAAAATTCTACTCACTAAGTGGGATTCGAGAGCTCTCACGGCTCAGTCAGATTGTTTAAGTGTGGAAAAACACTTGGCAGGAAGAGCCAGCCACCCCTCCTCATGAGTGGTCACAGGACCGTGACCTTCTAAACACCACTTACACTGTCAGGTCTGGCTTCTGTCCCTGCTGACTGCTACCGGCTCCTAACCACTCCTTGTTGTTTACAAGCAATACCTGATACAGGGTTGCCTTCCCCAGCAAGTGTGGGTAGAGCCTAGGGTTTCATTACCTTGAGGTCCTAAGATCCAACAGGGACCTAGACACAGAACTGAGGCCCGGAGACATGTTTTATGAGAAACGAGAGAGCGTCAACTATTCCTTCCCCAGGACGCAGAGCCCCTGGGCCACCACCTGGGTGGGCTGCCCCTAGGATTTCAGCTATCTCGGTCCCCCTAATCCCGGCTCTCTAATATTGCCAAACCCCTCAGGGCAAGTAGGCCCTCATCTGGAAGGAAGGAGAACAGCAAGCCAGAGAGAGGTAAACTGTACACAGTCGACAGGGTGGAGTCTGGAATGTGGGTCGAGTGCTCCGTCCTTTGGTGGGAGCTCTTATTTATGAGAGATGAGAGTCACCAATGCCTTTAGAGGCCACTGCCTCCCCTCAGCTGAGAGGAGCAGAGCCCAGGACGGGAATCCAGCCGGTTATGGGTAGGAGCTTGTTTAAGTCGTGAAGTCCTAGCCGATGTGGACGGAGGTACCCCCAACAGATACCTCCATTGACAGGAAGCTACCATGTAACCTTAGGTTTTCTCCTGTAATCTTGAGGTCTCCCTGAGGATCCCACCCGAGTTCATCCTGTGACTCTACCAGATAGAGTGGCATTTGACAGGCTACCTCAATCAGCACAGCTGGGAGTTAGCTTTTGCATTGACAGGTTCCCCATTCTTGGGGTAAGAATGCCGAAAGTGCTCCTGGGGAACGGCCTGTGATTTTGTGATACAAGATGAGGGTTAATTTGTGTACAGTAAATGCAGGAGAGTAGGAAAGAATCTTTTGAGAATGGGTTCTATGAAACTGGGGGTGTGGGTATATATAGCCCAGTGGTGGAACACTTGCTTAGCATGTGTGAGCCTCTGAGGTCAATTCCCAGCACTCCAAAAAACAATAAAGAAAGATCTGTATATATGAGCTGGGTGTGGTGGCTCACACCTTTAATGCCAGCATTTGGGAGACAGAAGCAGGTGGATCTCTGTGAATGTGAGGCCAGCCTGGTCTACAGAGCGAGTTCCAGGACAGCCAGGGCTACATAATAAGGCCCTGTTTTTTTTTTGTTTTTTTTTTTTTGTTTGTTTGTTTGTTTGTTTTTGTTTGTTTAAACTGGTGTGTTTGGGGGAAGCAATCAAAGGCCTTTTCTGAAAATGGAGATCACATGAGAGCTCTGTTGCCTATCTGCCCACTTTAGGTCTTGTCCTCTGCTGGCTGGGGAGCAAAGTGGGCAGCGGCCTCTGTGGGCCCAGTCTCTGGAGCTGCCTGAGCCAACCATGCAGCCCTTGCCCACTGGGGCACTCCCAGAGGAGGTGGCAGAGGAGACCCCTGTCCAGTCAGAGAGCGAACCAAAGGTGCTGGACCCTGAGGAGGACCTGCTGTGCATAGCCAAGACTTTCTCCTACCTTCGGGAATCTGGTGAGTCTCAGGAGAAACAGACCCTGTCCTGGGAGGTCTGTGGAGGAACTAAGCTCTTTGGATTTTGAATCGGATTTGGGCAGCCTGGTCCTGGCCCTAAGTCTGATGGTAGAGGTGCATCCCTCTCCAGGGAAATGGGAAGGGGCTCTCCATCTTGAGAGCCCTGAGTTGGTGCCCTTAGGTCGAATTTCCATTCTGATCAGTCCCTTGGCCTCTTCTCTACTTGTCTAGGATGGTATTGGGGTTCCATTACAGCCAGCGAGGCCCGGCAACACCTACAGAAGATGCCAGAGGGCACGTTCCTAGTACGAGATAGCACCCACCCCAGCTACCTGTTCACGCTGTCCGTCAAAACCACCCGTGGCCCCACCAATGTACGCATCGAGTATGCCGATTCCAGCTTCCGACTGGACTCCAACTGCTTGTCCAGACCTCGAATCCTGGCCTTCCCAGATGTGGTCAGCCTTGTGCAGCACTATGTGGCCTCCTGTGCCGCTGACACCCGGAGTGACAGCCCAGATCCTGTTCCCACCCCAGCCCTGCCTGTGCCTAAGCAAGAGGCACCAGGTGACGCAGCCCTGCCTCTCCCCATGGCGACTGCCGTGCATCTGAAACTGGTGCAGCCCTTTGTGCGCAGGAGCAGCGCCCGAAGCTTACAACATCTGTGTCGCCTTGTCATCAACCGTCTGGTGGCCGACGTGGACTGCCTGCCGCTGCCCCGGCGCATGGCCGACTACCTCCGACAGTACCCCTTCCAGCTGTGACTGGGGCCAGACACCCTGCCCTGCCTCACGTAATTATATCCTGGAGCGGACCCAGGCCCCAGCTGGACCTGGCTTCCTATGTCCCTCTTCAGTCATCCTGGTGCCTGTATACATACAGAAGGTGCCAGCAAGAACAAGGCAGGTGGAAGAGGGAGCGTCACACAGCTCCGAGGTCAATGCCTCCAGGTCCCATATGGCTCTCTGTGGTGAAGCCACGTGTCAGAGCAGAGACAGACAGGCAGGACCTTGTCTCACCCTGGAGGCTGGACCCAGGCCTCCATTCGCTGGTGTGCCCTAGCCACCCGAACTCTGTATTTCCTCCCAGGCCTGGTTTCTCAATCTCTGGGTAGGGCAGGCCCCCTGCCCATCTGTAGAGCAGCCAGCCTGTTTCTGGGAGAGTATCAGCCAGAGGCACTGAGGTTGATAGTGCCATCCCCTTGGGAGGAAGCAGGCCAGCCTGGGGGCTACACAGTTATACAGTATTTATTTATTTATTCTCCTTGTGGGGGTTGGGGTGGGTTAATGGCATGAGCCACCCCATTTCTCTGCCCTAAGGCCTGGGTGGTCCAAAGATCCCCAGCTCTGGTTCTTCCCTGTGGAGACCCCCCCATCCCCAGATGTATTGTTGGGCCCAAAGTCGTCCTGAATGTCCTGGCCCTGACCACCTGCATATGGATGTGCCCACTCTCTTTTCTCCCTAGCCTCTTTTGGGAGGCTGGGTAACCAGACAGACGGGAGCCAGAAACACAGAGCTCACACTCATCTCCTCACGTGGCTTCCTTCACAGAGCTGGCTTCTCTGTGGTGCAGGCCCTGCAGAAGGGCATGTGCTGGGTCAGGAAGGGGATGCTGGCTCAAGGACTGCTCTTGCAGCTCTTTTGTGTCTGCTTCCTGCCCAGGAAGTTGCCTGCATGTGAGAGAGCGAGAAATACATACCTAACGCGACTTTATAAAACCATTATTATAACACAAAAACCAGCTTGGTAGTTTTTCTTCCACTGATTTTTCTGTAATGATAATAAAATTATGCCTTCCATTTATGAAGCCTTCTGTGGGCATCTGGAGTTGCGGAGAGTCTGTCTCCCTTTCGTCCTATTGTGATCCAGTTTCACATCTGGAAAAGCAGAAGCTCAGAACCTTACGTGGACGGAGCAGTCTCTGCCAGGGGACTGAGGGGTGAAGGTCACAGAGAGCTGCCTTTCTTGTCACACACACCCCCCCCCCCGTTCCCCCTGGGAAATGAGAGACAGGAGGTGAAGGTCTATTGCATGCCTTCTGGTGTGCCATCCATTGCCCCGCTGGGTGTGTGGGAAGTGGGGCGCAGAGGAGCCCCAAGCCCAAGAGGTGCATGTAGAGGAAGTAGCCATTCAAAGTGCAGGGGGGGTGGGGGCGGTTGGGGATTTAGCTCAGTGGTAGAGCACTTGCCTAGCACAAGGGTTCGATCCTTAGCTCCGGGGGAAAAAAGTGCAAGTGGGCACAGAGGGAGGGTAGTATGAGAAGAAGGGACCACAGAACTCAGGACCGACCTGGGAAGGAGGAAGGACAGTGGAAACAAAAGCATATGAGAATGAGGATCCCTGACATGAAGCCTGAGCGGGCTCTTCCCGGGCAGTGAGGTAGATCAGTTGAGTCAGAGATAGTGACCAATGAGCTGGTAGGGTCTGGTCTCGGGGAGGAGTGTCAGAGTTCTTGCTGTCCAGGGTCAATGGTCTGACTTGGGGATATTTAGACTGCCGGGATCCTGCTATGGCCTGATATTTTCTCCCACCGTGTGTGAGGACCTCACAGGAAAGCTCCTCTAAGCTGTGCTCATAGCCTTCTAAGCCTTATGGAAACAATTCAGGATATGGTCTTAGTCCTGAGACCATTAGAAGCTGCAAATTACAAGAGGCCAGTAATGGTGGATCGTGAGCAGGAAGCTGTAAGAAGCGGCATCTTGATACAGAAGAGGCTAAAAACAATAAACAACCAGAATCGGGGAGGCCCAGGACTGAGGACACGGAGACAGTAATGACATGAGGAGGAATGATGTCATCGTGCGGGCTGGGATGGTGGCCTGGGGTCAAGAGTGTTTGCTGCTCTTTCAGAAGACCAGTATCCACTCCAGGGAAAGTGATGCCGTCTCCTGGCCTCTGTGCACCTACACACACACACACACACACACACACACACACACACACACACACACAGAGAGAGAGAGAGAGAAACACGCACAGAAAAATCATTTTCTCTCTCTCTCTCTCTCTTTTTTTTTTAAGGAATGACATTGGGTTAGAGTGAACAAGAGGTAGATGAAGGAGGGGTGATATTTTTAAAGCCGGAAGTAGTGTCCAAGCCCATCTCCTTGGTGTGGCACCTTCTCGATTGTTGACAGTGGGTGCCAACAGCGTACCCCTTCCCAGCGTTACCACGACTCTGGGAGTGCCTTTTCTTCAACTTTGATCTCAGCCTCTTTGTGGTTCCCAAAATTCGTGAAGTAATCCCTCTTGCCCTCCACCCCCCAGATGTGAGTCATTTAGTGGGAAAGTAGCGGGCCCCCAGGGGCCAGAGGCAGGCTTTCCACATCTGGTGCCTCAACCTGGACAGTCAGCTGCTGTAAGAAAAGGAAGCGGAGGAAACCTCATTCTTCACACGAGCGACTGTCTAAGAATGCCTGCCAGGTGCAAGTCTGCGCGAGGACGCTGTACTCCACGGGAGTGGGGTTCAAATACTACCCCGTATTCAAATGCCAGGAGCAGGGGCTGGCTGAGGCCGCTCAGAGCGCTGAGCACAGAGCAGCACTCATCCACCTGCGCTCGGCCCCACACGCCCCTGCGAGGTGGAGATAGGCAACTGGGTGGCAGCTTGGGCGGTTGTTTCTCTCCACCCGTCTCCGCCTACTGAGAGCACCCAAGTGGTCCTGGCCGTGCGCCGTCCCCAGCCCCCCTCAAACCAGAGTCTAGCTCTTTCCTGACAAGGGGCTGCCAGCTGCTGACATTTCAGTCTGTATATGAGAGGAATACCAATGCCTGCCTAGGGCCAGGGACGGCAGAAAATGTGTCACTGGACCCCAGACCCACGTCAGAGACCCGAGCCCTAACAGAAAGGAAAAAGCAGCTGGCCAGTGGGACCCCCCTGGATGGTCCTGGGCTATTAAAAGGGCAACCCTGCTGGCGCTAGCTGGAGAGGAAGGGTAAGCCCTGAGGTGGGCATGCTGGGCCCGGCATAATGCCCAAAGAGTAATTAATGCCACCCTTCCCTGACTGAGTCCCTTCACGTGTGCTCTTTGGCCACTAACTGAATCAGACTCCATCAAGGCCCAGGGAACGAGACAGACATGGCCTCCACCCTCATGGAGCTTGCGGGTAGCCAAGAGAGGGTGTAAAAGGGAACAAAGGAGCAGGTCCTGAGTGGGTGAGAAAGAATGGCCTTGGTGTGGGTCACCCTGCAGCAAAGAGGGTTCGAGAAGGTGCTGAGAGGCTGGCAGTGAACCTGGCGACCAGAGAAGAGTGCAGGGGTAGGTCCTGGGGGTAGCGTGGGGAGGGGCTGCCCCCAATACTGGGACAACCAGCACAATGGCGCTGAAGCAGAAACCAACCTAGAGTCCAGGATGAGTGGGGAGGGCAGCTGAACTGATCCAGCTGGTGGAGCACCCCGGAGTCTAGAGGGCTGTATTGAGCTCTGATGCTCATTTCTAAAGTACTCTAGGTGGACGGCTCCATGACGACGTCAAAGCAGGTGGCCCGTGAGAAGACTCACAGGTACGGCACTTAGAGGGGTGGGGTGCCACCGGAAACCGGAGGAGGCAAAGGTGGCAATTTGGGGCGTGGCTCCAGCCCTGCACACTAACAGAGGTTGTCTCTGTTTTCAGTTGAAGGGGTATGGCTTAGAGCAGCAGTTCTCAACCTGTGAGTCACGGCCCTTTCACAGGGGTCTCCTAAGACCATCAGAAAACACAGAGATTTACATTATGATTCATAACAGTAGCAAAATTACAGTTATGGCATAGCACCGAAAATAATTTTATGGTTGGGGGTCACCACATCATGAGGAACTGTATTAAAGGGTCACACCAGAGGAAAGCTGAGAACCACTGGCTTAGAGAGAGGTAATGGCCAGCTTGGGGTCATAAGCCTTGCCTCCAGACCTTATTCGTGTAACCACTACTCTACCCTGTCTCTGAAGACTCACCTGCCAAAGCCTTAGACTCCCAAGGTCAAAAGCCAGATAGAAGAGTAGAGAGGTCCAGCAGGGCGTGGCATGGGGGCATAGCTGGGGCCTGGAAGATTCTCCCCAGCCACAGGAGGATGGGTTTGGAGAGTGGTCGGATGTGGTGTTGCTCTCTGGACCCAGGCCTCTGGAATGGTTAGAGGGGGCAGGTAGTACGAAGCCACCGGGTATTTCTTGTCAGCAGGTCTAACTGGCTAGTGTCTCGCTGAGATGTTTTAGGTAAGATTACTGAGTCACCTAGCATTCCCTTGGTCCCAAGGGCCCCTGAACCTAAGTCCAGCATTTAGTTTGCTGCCTGAGCAGATCCTGCTAGAACAAGGCTAAATGTGTCCGGACGGAGTTGAAGCCATGAGCGGCTGTCTTAACTCTGCGATGGCAACCCCCTTACCGAGGAGGCTGATCTCCTTTAGAAAGGGAGCCTGGGCAGGGCAGGGCAGCCTTTTCACACCAACCTGTTAGACCAGTCTTGATCTAGAGCAGGCTTGCACTTGGCCTCCCCACCCCTCTCTGGCTCCGTGGGGCAGCACAGCCAGCCAGGGAGGGGGCAGCAGCGGCCACTGTAGGGCAGCAGGGTCGGGGATCCGTGTCTGGGACACAAGCTAGGGGAGGTCCCTGGAGGGCTAGTTCTGGCCAGACTGCAGACCAGAGGGTGAGGAGAGAGTGTCTGGGCCTGGCTTTGGGGGCAAGCCAAGTCCATGGAAGCAGATACCCATCTCTGAGCGGGAGACGCGGCAGGCTGGATGTGGAAGGAGGCCCTAAGCTGTCTGCTCAGTGGAAAGACAGTGGTTTCCATGACCCAAGCCTGGTCGAAGCAGGCAGACTCCAGGGTACAGCAGGTAGCCTCTGAAGGCTGGGGAAACTTGGGGTTACTACATCTCCTCCAGGCAGCCCTCTGGGGCTGTTCCACCCACACAGGAACTTACTGTCTCCAGAGATATCCTGATGGTGTGTGGTTGAAGGGGACATGACATCTAGCAAATTCTTTCCAGGGGCAGAACCCTGCTTTGGGGACTTTCCCAAGCCCTAGAACCAATAAACCAGACCAGATTTTTCCTGTCACCAGACATGGGCTCCCTTTCTACTAGAGTTCAGCCCCATCCTGCATGAGGCCAAGGCTATGTTCTAAGTGCCTCTCAGCTCTCAGCCTCCTCCCAAGAAGCATTTTACCCTCCCCACTAAGCATATCAATGTGTGTGTGCCTGTGTGTGTATGTGCTTGTGTGTGTGTGCTTGTGTGTGTGTGTGTGTGTGTGTGTGTGTGTGTGTGTGTGTGTGTGTGTGTATGCTTGTGGGGGGGGCTTGCATGCGTGCTAACCTTTCCCCTTGGCCAACATTCCTTTGTTTTCTTCAGCTCTTTCCAGAGGACAGTTTGGTAGGAGGAGCCATAGAAGTAGCCTTAGGCAAACATTTCCTCAAAGCTCTGAGACATGAAGGCCTATCCAGAAGGAGATGGTTCCCGTGGTAGCCCGAAAAGGTGGAGGGGCCACAGGAAGAGACCTGGGAGGGTGTACTGTTACCCCTGGCACTTGGGTGCCTACGCTCCTGGGATCTTGCCATCATCCATCTGGCATCGACAGGGTAGGCGCAGCTTTAACAGGCAAAGCTGGGCGACTCTGAGCAGGCTGTTTTTATCTTCCTGAGACACACATTCTCATCACAGGCCAAGATTCTGGGTTTACTGTCTGTGGGATCCATTTGCTCTGTGTCCTACCCGAAGGGCACCCAGGCTGGGTCTGCATAGCCCTGTACCTTTTCACTTGGAGTCAGCCAGTCAGTATCAGGGTTGGGAGGTGTGGGTTTGGGGCACACCAGCACCCCCTTTCCAGCAACTT